TAGCAGCAAGAGCAGCGGCAACAGCAGCAAAAGCGGCAGCAGCAGCAAGAGCAGCAGCAGCAGCAAGAGCAGCAACAGCAACAGCAGTAACAGCAACAGCAGCAGCAGCAGCAGCGGCAGCAGACCTGTCTGGCAAGCATCATGCCGACATAAGGAAATGCCTTGTTGTAGTAGTCTCCGTTGGCGAAATTAGGGTCTGCCATCTGCACAGAGCCAAACGCCAAGTCTGGGGTTTAGGGTTTAGGATTTAGGGTTTAGGGTTTAGGGTTTGGCCGTGCGGAGCAGCACAAGTCTGCAGATCGGCCGCCCCGTGCAGGCTCTTTGCCGCAGGATTCCCCCGGCCCAACTGCCTAGGGCTTTGCGTTTAGGGTTTAGGGTTTAGGGTTTAGGGTTTACGAGGATTTGTCGCTGAATGTATCTGAAGGCAATGGCCAAGGGTTTGGAGTAAAGAGACCCGCTAACCACCGCCAGCCGCAAAACCCTTTCTGGAAAAAGGGCCCCCCAACTGAGGACTTGGAGGGCCCCCAAGCTGCTGCCCACTGCTGCATGCAGCTGCCGGATCTGCAGGTGGTCTGAGCCGCAAACCACGATTTAGGGTTTAGGGTTTAGGGCCTAGGGTTCACGGTTTGGGGCCTGGGGCTCGCGGGCTCGCGGCCACGGCTCACCTTCTACAGCTGTGTATAAAGCGAAGGCCTCGGTTTCGGGTTTAGTGCGGTTTAGGGTTTGCTAGGGCTTAGGGTTTAGGGTTTAGAGTTTACGGTTTAGGGTTAAGGGTTTAGGGCTTAGGGTTTAGGGTTTGACCTATGACCCTGCGTTGCACTCGCGCCATATCCTGCACCGTAAACCACGGGAAGCTGAGGCCGTAGCGAGGCGCATCTTCTGCTGCTCCGCCTTCCTGCTGCTGCTGCTGCTGCTGCTGCTGCTGCTGCTGCTGGGGTTTGAAGGAAGAGGGCCCCGAGGTGCCGCTGCAGCCCCCCAGGTTGGCGACGCAGATAATGAAGAAGCGGTTGGTGTCTAGCGCCTTCCCGGGGCCTATAAATGCTTCCCACCACCCTGCAGCAGCAGCAGCAGCAGCAGCAGCAACAGCAGCAGCAGGAGCGAAGGCCGTTCACTTGTCACCGCTACAGCAGCAGCAGCAGTAGCAGCAAAAAGAGCAGCAGCACCAGCAGCAACAATAAATACAGCAAAAACAGCAGCAGCACCAGCAGCAACAACAAAAACAGCAGCAGCAGCAGCAGCAGCAGGTCACCAGTTTGCAAGTTGTGTTTGTGGCTCTTGGCGTGGGAAGAAGCAGAAAGTCCGCAGCCGAGAAGCACAGCGTTGTCTCTTTGGCTGTTGAGGTGTCCGTACACCTC